GGTCACATAGCACAGCAGCTACAGTTCGGCAGTTACTTCGTCTATGAACAGCCCGACCCATCGCGGCTGTACGCCGAACCACCCTGGCCAGCGGTATGATCAGCACTTGGCGTACACAAGATCATCTTCGACCCATGTCAATTGGGATTTCGAGATCGTCACGGGGGTATTTTGAAAAAGACCACCAGGTTTGTCTCCAACGCCCCAGAGATCCTCGAGCAGTTCGCGCACCTCAGGTGCACCAACAAACACACGCACGTCCACGCCGAGCGCCACAGCATCACCGACGTCTGGCCATGGAAGATTGCCGAACTGCTTGTCTGGGGCATCGCGGGCCTACGCCGACCCCTGAGACGACGGCACGGGGCGAACTATGTTCATGTTCACGAACGCGATGTCGATACAGCAGCATTTCCAGCAGTGGCTTCAGGGGCCACGGAGGACGAAATCAGGAGTGCCATGGCCGCCGAGCGCACACGCTACTCGCGCAAGGCGTGCCGACGCAACATACGATCGGATTCGTCCACACTCCCGAGACCCGGCCACCTGCCGGTACCCTCACAGCGCCTCAATGTATTGTGAATGCCCCGGCTGCCCTGAGGAGAAAGAACGCAACCCTCCAGCACACACCCGCGAGCTCAGCAAAAGCAGGTTCGCGGGTCCTCATACAAGGCCGCGTCTACGTATTGGCCAGCACTCCCGAGCACCAGCAAGACATGGAGGACCACATCCTAATAGCGGTCACCAGGCTCACCTACATGGAGGAGCCGACCTCGGAGCAGCAGACGAGGCAGCACTACCACCAGCACCATCCAGTACACCAGGAGCCAGCTCCTCCCTCCTCCTCCTCCTCCTCCTCCCTCCTCCTCCTCCTCCTCCTCCTCCTCCTCCTCCTCCTCCTCCTCTTCCTCCTCCTCCTCCTCCTCATCCTCATCCTCATCCTCCTCCTCCTCCTCCTCCTCCTCCTCCTCCTCCTCCTCCCCTACTCTGTTTCCTCCTCCTCCTCCTCCTCCTCCTCCTCCTCCTCCTCCTCCTCCTCCTCCTCCTCCTCCTCCTCCTCCTCCTCCTCCTCCTCCTCCTCATCCTCCTGTTAGTATTTCGCTCAAGCCTTATCCCGCTGGGTCGCGCCCGCGCCCCCCGCGTCGTTGCCGATGCCGCCGACGCCGCGGGCTCGCGCTGCCGCGCCGCTCGAGGCTGCCCGCGGGGCCCTCGCAGCGGCGCGTGCGGCCGCTGAGCTTTCGGGCGGCGCGGATCGCTGGGCAGCCCGCCTCTTCCACGCAGCCGAGGGCCTCCTTCGTTCCAGCGTCGCCGTCCTGGCGGTGCCGCCCCCGCCCGTGCCCGACGCCGCCCCGCCTGCGGCCCGCCCCCGGCGGCGCCCCCGGCGGCGGGTGCGCGGCGGCGCACGCGGGCCTGCTCTCGGCGGCGACAGCGCGACAGAGGCCGCGGAGGACGCGGCAACGGCGGCAGCGACGGGCGGCGGGCGGCCTCCTGGCTGCGCGCGTGGCATTGCACTGGCACGTGCCATGGCGGCTCAGCTCGGCGAGGCCTCCCACGAGCTGGGCGCCCTCCTTCGCGGAGAGCCCGCCTTCGCTCTGGAGTTTCCTCTCCCAGACGGGCCTGCCGCCCCGCGTCGCGGACCTTCTGGCGGAGACCCTGGGCGGACGGAGGTGGCAGTGGGGGTTGGCAGGGGGGCTCGCCGAGTAGCGTGAAGGCCCGCGGCCCGCCGCCCCTCCCTTCCGTCCGCCACATGGCGCTCGTCTTCGGCGTTCGCCATTCCATGTTCTCCTGAGCCTGCCCGTGTCCGCCCCGAGCGAACGCGGCCGCAGTCGGCGCCCACTTCCTCCCCCTCCTCCTCCTCCCTCCTCCTCCTCCTCCTCCTCCTCCTCCTCCTCCTCCTCCTCCTCCTCCTTCTGTTTCTCCTCCTCCTTCTCATGTATCAGAGTCCTCCCTTCTCATCCTCCTCATCCCCCTCCTCATTATCATCAGCAGCAGCATCATCATCACCATCATCAGCAGCATCATCATAATTTCCATGTTGATCATCATCAGCATAATCATCAGCATCATCATCATCACCATCACCTCTCTTCCTGTTCCTCCTCCTGCTCCTGCTTCTCCTCCTCCTCCTCCTCCTCCTCCTCCTCCTCCTCTTCCTCCTCCTACTGGTTTTCCCACGTCCCCTCCTCTCTTCCTCCTCCTCCAGTTCCTCTTCCTCCTCCCGTTCCTCCCTTTCCTCCTCCTCTTCCTCCTCCGCCTCATCCTCCTCCTCCTCCCCCTCCTCCTCTTCCTCCTCCTCTTCCTCCTCCTCCTCCCCTTCCTCCTCCTCCTCCTGTTCCTCCTCTTCCTGTTTCTTCTACTCCTGTCGGTACCTCTCTTCATTCTCTCCTCCACCTCCTCCTCTGTTTCCTCCGCCTCCTCCTTGTCCTCCTCCTCCTGTCCTCCTCCTCCCCCTCCCCTCCTCCTCCTCCTCTCCTCCTCCTCCTCCTCCTCCTCCTCCTCCTCATCATCATCCTCATCTCAGCATCATCATCCTCTCCTTCTCCTCCTCCTCCTCCTCCTCCTCCTCCTCCTCCTCCTCCTCCTCCTCCTCCTCCTCCTCCTCCTCCTCTTCCTCATCCTCCTCCTCCCCCACCAGCCTTCTTCCTCATACATAAGGTCTCCCTGTCGCACCCCGAGGCCAGTTTTTGGTGTGGGCTGGGCGTTTCGCCAGAGACGTCCTCATCATTTATGGTTCTGAAGCTTAAACATTGGCAACAGCTTCACTGATGGAGGGTGGGTCGTTGTCAAAATGTGGCTTTCGCTTTAGCGTGGTGCACAATAATTTAAAACATTTGCAAGAATTTCACGAGATGAGGGCTCCTGCCTCAGCGCGGCGCGCATTCGTATATAAACTGTGCCAGAGCTTCAACGATTGAGGGCGGGTCGTTTTCAACATGTGGTTATCGCTTCAGCGCGGCGCACATTTGCTTTAAGAATTTGCAAGAGATCCACAGATTGAAGGCGGGTGGCTTTCAAAATGTGGTTCTCGCCGTAGCGCGGCGAACATTCGTTCTAAAAAGTTGCAAGAGCTTCACGGATTGAGGGTGGTTCCTTTTCAAAATGTGGTTATCGTTTTTCCGCGGCGCACACTCGTTCCCAAAAAAATGCAAGAGTTTCACGGATACCCATCATCAACGTGCCAGAAATTGTGTTTTGAAAGGATTCATGCATTTGCTGTTGCAACAGTTATGTTGGTTCGCTGTGCTGAAGTCCCAGGAATGGTGTTATGGCACGGTTCAGGATTGTCAAGACGCTACAGTCAGGTTGATCCTTGGCGTTGGAATCCCGAGAACCATCTTTTGGCATGCTTCAAGGTTTTCAAACTGTTGCCTTCCAAAGAGGTAGTTCCTTCAATGGAAAGGAACCGCTATAGGGCCCTATGAATAGGGAGCTTGGAGGGAGGGCTTACTCCAACATCGTTGGTGACTCTTGGGTTTACACTGGTCCTCCTCCTCCTCCTTCACCTCCTCCTCCTGCTCCACAATTTAACAATATGGATACTACTCTCCTCTCTCCCCTGGTGGCGTCCAGGAAATGGCCGGCCCCCCTCCGCGTACTTGTTTTTTACACAGGATTCCCGGGAAACGGGTTTTCGCTTGGGTCTTTTTTCGAAATGCTGCTCTCGCTGAAGCGTTGGCTTCATTTTCGCGCTACCGCTCGTTCCGAAACGTGCTCCCGCTGCAGCGCTGGCGTCATTATTTCCAGCGCCATGCCACTGCATGGTTTTCGGTACTTCCAAATAGGCCCCAAAATCTAGAAAATGTCTTCCGAAAAGATAATTGAATGGGATTTTACATTCGGCGTCAGTTCGTTGATTTTTTGCGCCGCAGAAGCCCGCCATGCTATGTTAGGCTACGCGTCCTCATTTCCGCGCTTCTGCGCTTGGGTTTTTTTCAAAGTGCTACTATTGCTGAAGCGCTGGCCGCATCTTCGGGCTACCGCTCGTTCCGAATTGTGTTCCCGCTGCAGCGCTGGCCTCATTTCGGCGCTTCCGCTCGTTCCGAATCGTGCTCCCGCTGCAGCGCTGGCCTCATTTCCGCGCTTCCGCTCGTTCCGAATTGTGTTCCCGCTGCAGCGTTGGCGTCATTATTTCCAGCGCCATGCCACGGCATGGTTTTCGGCACGTCCAAATAAGCCACAAAATCTTAAAAATGGCTTCCAGGGGAAACCGTCGGAGGTGATTGCGCATTCGGTGTCGATTGTTTAATTTCTTGGCCGCAGAAGCCCCCTCCCATTTTGGGGCGTCGCCACGCCATGCTATGTCAGGCTACGCGTCCTCATTTCCGCTCTTCCGCGCTTGTTTTTTGTCGAAATGCTGCTCTCGTTGAAGCGCTGTCCTCATTTTCAGGTTACTGTTCGTTCCGAATCGTGCTCCCGCTGCAGCGCTGGCCTCATTTCTGCGCTTCCGCTCGTTCCGAATCGTGCTCCCGCTGCAGCGCTGGCGTCATTATTTCCAGTGCCATGCCACGGCATGGTTTTCGGCCATTGAAAATAAGCCCCAAAATCTTAAAAATGGCCTCCCGAAGAAACCGTCGGAAGTGATTGCGCATTCGGTGTCGATTATTTGATTTGCTGGGCCGCAGAAGCCCCCCCCCTCATTTTGGGGCGTCACCGCCATGCTATGTCATGCTATGCGTTAATATTCAACACCATGCTATGCCATGTAATGCTATGCCATGCTACGACATCGGGTTGTGCGAATAGGGAGGAGATATGTGCCATGGTAAGGGGTGGGAGGGAGGCGTAGGACGTCGGATACGACGCAAGCGCACCTAGCTTGTCCTCCTCCTCCTCCTCCTCCTCCTCCCCCGCCTCCTCTCCCTCCTCCTCCTCCTCCTCCTCCTCCTCCTCCTCCTCCTCCTCCTCCTCCTCCTCCTCCTCCTCCTCCTCCTCCTCCTGCTCCTCCTCCTCTCTCCTCCTCCTCCTCTCTCCTCCCCCCTCCTAGCGCAGTGCCTGCCAAGGCGGCGACAACGCTGGTGGGGGCGGCCCCGGCGGCGGTGACAGCTCTCCGACCAGCGGCGGCTCTGGCGCGCCGCCCCACCCCCGGCCGGCCCTGCTGGCAGCGTCCCGCGGTGTCGTTCGCGGTTCGAGGGCCTTTTCTCGTCGGGAGGGGGAGGAGGAGGAGGAGGAGGAGGAGGAGGAGGAGGAGGAGGAGGAGGAGGAGGAGGAGGACGACGACGACGAGGAGGAGGAGGAGGAGGAGGAGTAGGAGGATTAGTGCAAACCCAAGACTCATCAACGATGTTGAAATACACCCTCCCTCCAAGGTCCCTCTTCATAGGCCCCTACACGGGGTCATTCCCGCTGAGAGAAGTGCCCGCTTGGGGGACAATACACCGTTCTCAGGACTTCAACGCCACGAGTCAACCTGATTGTTACGTCTTGGCGATCCTGAATCGTGCCAGGACACAGTTCTTGGGACTTCAACACCGCGAATCAACGTAACGGTTGCGCCCTGAAAATCTTGAATCGTTCCGCAGCGCCGTTTCTGCTACGAAACTGCTGCTAATGGTGATATCGAATGTGCGCGGCACGAAGGGAGCCACATTTTGAAAAGGAATTGCCCTCAAGCCGTGAAACTCCTGCAGATTGTTAAAACGAATGCGCGCGGCGCTAAGGCGAGAGCCACCTTTTTTAAATCGAACTGCCCTCAATATGTGAAGCTCTTGGCAAAGTGTTGACACGAATGCGCGCGGAGCTGAGACGAGAGCCACAGTTTGACAACGAACCGCCCTCACTCCATGAAACTCTCGCGCAAGTGTCTGAAACGAGTGCGCGCGGCGCTAATGCGAGAGCCACCATGGTGAAAACCACCCGCCCTCAATCCGTGAATATTTTGCGAATGCTGACAACAAGTGTGCGCGGCGCTAAGGCGAGAGCCACATATTGAAAACCAGCCGCTCAATCCGTGAAGCTCTTGCAAATGTTTCAATTGAATGTTTGCGGCGCGAAGGCGAGAGCAACATTCTGGAAGCCACCCGCTTTGCATGTGTGAAATTGCTGTCAATGTTTAAATAAGGTCATACAGGGTGAGGACGTCTTAAGCGAAGCGCCCGGCCCGCCCTTTCGACAGGCCTCGCGGTGCAACAGGGAGGTGATATCTATAAGGAAAAAGAATGGAGGAAGACAAGGAGAAGGAGAAGGAGGAGAAGAATTGGGGGGGAGGAGGAGGAGGAGGAGGGAGGGAGGAGGAGGAGAGGAGGCGGAGGAGGAGGCGGAGGAGGAGGAGGAAGAGAGGAGAAGAAAGGGGGAGGGGGAGGGGAGAGAGGGGAGGAGGAGGAGGACGAGGAGGAGGAGGAGGAGGAGCAGGAGGAGAGGGACGAGGAGGGTGAGGAGGAGGAGGAGGAGGAGGAGGAGGACGAGGAGGACTCGAGGACGAGGACTCGAGGACTCGAGATGCAGGGCAGCGCGGTCGACTCCGCCGCCGCGCCCCCTGCCCGCGCCGACCGCGCAGGCCACATGAGGTCGCGAGCCCACCCCAGAGACAGGGTAGAGTACTTGCTGCGGGGCCGCGGCCCCGCGCCAGGCCGCGCGGCTGCGCAGGCCTCATGGGGTCGCGATCCCACCCCGGAGACAGGGCGGGCCTCCACCTCACTGCCTCTCCAGGGCAGATTGTCTCAGAGGTCGCGAGCCCACCCCAGAGACGGGGCGGGCCTCCACCTCACTGCCACTCCATGGCACAGTATTTCTGCGGGGCCGCAGCCCCGAGCCTTGTAGTCAATCACGTTGTCACCTCCCAGCTGCGACGCGTAGTATTTTGCCGCCGTTTGGTGGCACTGTTCCATCTGGCCAGTTCTGGCCCGCCTTGTGTGGTAGCCTTTGGCGTAGTCGTCGTAGGACCGTCTCTCCACTTGGGTGATCTTGTCCCTGCACTCCTTCGTCAACAGATTCGCCCTGCCATGCCCTTCATCATTGCGTGAGGCCAACACAGCACAGCTCCAGCACCAGAATTGCCCATGAGCGACCGCGACATTGTGGCTCATGTGGATGACCTTGCCTTTGATCTCGACCATCTCGTTATTCGGCACTGGCACTGCATGTCCGTGGTCAGCCCGCTGGGTTGCATATAGTTGTCCCGTGCACGCAATCGCTTCCATCCAAACAACGACACTGTATTTGCCAGGCGACAGCCAGCATTCTTGGCAAACCATTTTCCGTTTTTCCTCGTCACGTGATGTCTTGATTCATGCTCAATTTAGAGACGCCTTTCGCGGGCCATCTTGCTCGGTGTTTGCGTTGGTCGTTCGTGCTTGGTGGGGTCGACGTCCTTGCAGATGTCGTATATATATGTATAGATATGTATATATACATATATATATATATATATATGTATGGCGGCTGCTCTGCGCTGGGCACGCATGAGCAGGGTCTCGATCTCCATGAGTTGATTGCCATTGCTAACTCCGCCCCACGTTGCGCCAAGGTGTCTGCCAACTCGTTGCCCAGGCTGGTCTCGAAGGATTGGCTCGACTGCTTGATCGATCGACTCCTGGTCAAGATGCGAGAGGCACTTGACCACCTGCACTTGATGGGCTCCTCCAGGACGCTTGAGTAGCATCTGCCCAATCCGTTGCCATCATCCTCGCATAGCTCCTTGGGGTCGTAGGTAGAGGAGGAGGAGGAAGAGGAGGAGGAGGACGAGGACGAGAAGGGGGAGGAGGAGGGCGAGGGCGAGGGCGAGGGGGGGAGGAGGAGGAGGAGGAGGAGGAGGAGGAGGAGGAGGAGGAGGAGGAGGAGGAGGAGGAGAAGGAGGAGAAGGAGGCGGAAGACGAGGAGGAGGAGAAGGAGGAGGAGTAGGACGACGAGGAGGACGACGACGACGAGGAGGACGAGGAGGAGGAGGAGCTTCCCCATCTGCTGGAGCACGGCCACGCCCGTGCCCCCGCGGCCTTAGTCCTCGGTGCGCGGCCCCGCGGATGCGCCATCGCACGGGGGCGCTCCGCGTCGGGGGGGGGGGACCGCACGGGGAGCCGCCACGCGGGGCCACGGCCGAGGAGCCCCGGCCGCAGGGCCGCGGAACAATTGCATCGTGACCCTCCTTCGTCAGGTCTCCCTAGTGCCGATCATAGGGGAACAAGAAGTGGCATAAACATAAAAACTCGGAGGTCCGCGCAGATTTCTCGGATCGGCGCTGGGACCCCCTGGCGGCGCCTCCGGCGCCGCCCCTGGCGCGCTCCGCGCGCCAGGGAGGGGGCTTCAGCGCCGATCCGAGAAATCCACGCGGACCTCCGAGTTTTTATGTTTACGCCACTTTTTGTTCCCCTATGATCGGCACGCGAGGGGCATCGAAGACAGGCACATCTTCGCTGGTTCGTGAAGTATTTGACGTGCACTTTCTCAGATTGGGGGGGGCTTTTTCGTTTCGTCGGTTCCAGGAGGGTTTGGACAGAAGCACGACTAACGAAAATCGCAACAAAGGATGACAGACAAGCAACACGATGGCAGCAGAAGTGCCAGACACCACGGCATTATGGCGTCATCAAATGATACACGAAGATGTCAGGCATGTACACAAAGCACGTCATGACACACCATGTGATAGAAGCGTTGTTGAGCAAAGATGTAGCATCAGCGGCATCAAATTGGACCCGTTAACGAAAGTGACAAAACATCAGACAGCACGAAAAAGACGAAGCAACAGTTGCATGAGATTGGAATCGGAAAGAAAACACACATTATGCATACCAGCACAATCACATGGCAAAGCATTGACACGCACTGAACACCGACTGGCACGAATGGCAGGCACAAAAAGCAGACAGGGTGCATAGACCATGCACAACTGGGCACACCTTTACACCCGGGGTTTAGTCTGACGCCGCCGCAATTTTCCAAAGTGGACGTCGAGGGGTCTAGCGTCCTGTACCCAGCATCCGTATTGCTGCCGTTGGTTGTCCAATATGGATTTGTCCCTCATCCTTGTACAGTCTTGACGGTCTGAAGAGAAGGAGGCGGAGAAGGAGGAGGAGTTGGAGGAGTTGGAGGAGGAGCGCGGAAGGGGGGAGAGGGAGGAGAAAGGAGGGACGAGGGACGATGGACGAGCGAGGAATGATGAGGGAGCAGGGAGCGGGAGAAGGACGACGAAGAGCAGGAGAAGGAGGAAGAGGAGGAAGAGGAGGAAGAAAAAGATCGGGTGGGACGGGAGGAGGAGGAGGAAGCAGGGACGAACCAGGAGGAGGAATGGAAGGTGTGAGAAGAGGAGGAGAGGAGGATGAGGAAGAGGATAAGGAGGGAGAAAAACGTGGGACTGGAGGTGGAAAGGAGAAGGAGGAGGAGGAGGAGGAGGACGAGGACGAAGATGGGAGTGCAGCAGCAGCAATAAACGTTCTGTCTGCTTACACGACGGTAGGCTTCTGTTTGCCGCACCCAAAGTAGGCAGAAAGGCGGGCGACTGGAGGGGAGGACGAGGAGCGAGCGGAGCTGGGAGAAGCCAGCGAACCAGGAGAACCGGGAGAGCACCAGACAAGAGGCGGAGGCGAGGGAGGAGAAGGAAGCAGGCGGCACGGAGGATGGCAGAGAGGAGGTGCGGCGAGAGGGGGTGAATGGCTCGAGCTATCCTTCCAGTCCGAAAATCGTCCCCGCCGAGCGCCACTGGGCATGCACGACCGCGCATCCTCCAATCAACCAGGACAAAGGCACGAAGACCCTCAGGCGGAGGAGGAGGAGGAGGAGGAGGAAAAGGAGGAGGAGGAGGAGGAGGAGGAGGAGGAGGAGCAGGAAGAGGAGGAGGAGGACGAGGATGGGAGGAGGAGGGCGGCGTTCCGCGGGTCGGGCATTGCTGGGTTGCCCGCCCGCGATGCTCAGAGCCCATGCCGCGCGGCCTGGCCTGGCGGGCGGCCCAGACAGGCCCACTGCAGGGCGGAAAAGGACAAAGGAAAAGGAGGAGGAAGAAGAGGACAACAGAAGGAGCTCACGCGTAGGCGCAAGGCCTGTCGCGAACCAGCCGCACCGCCGCCCCTATGGAGCACGGCAGGCTCCCGTCGGAACGCCGCCTCCGCCCCCAGCCATCGCGGCGCCGAGGCTGGCG